TATCTCCATACTGATTTCCACAGTGGTTGCACCAGTCTGCACTCCCGCCAACAATGGAGAAGGGTTCCTTTCTCTCCACATCCCTGCCAGCATTTGTTACCTGTCGTTAATTTTGAAGAAGAAACGTATGTCACTTAAGGCTTCAGCAAGGCAGAACTCTGATCCCCAAATATATCAGGCAAACAAAAAGTACTCTTTGGGATGTTTTGCAAAGTCTCCTAGAGAATGTATCCTCCAGTCCCTTGCTATATCTGTACTTGTATAATGAAATGACAAAAATTTGCAAGTTATTTTTCAGTATTAAAAATGCATACTCTAGTAATTGTGCACCCAAGAGGTCATCTAAATATACTAGCACATCTGAGAATAATGTACAGGCAAGGCTATACATTGTATCACTTTTTGAAACTGCCAGAAATAATACATCCACAGTACTAAATACTTTGCATATACAAATGCTGATACTACTCTTTGGGTTCTAATATAAAGAACTGTATGATGTTGAAACACAAACAAAGTATATAACAGTGCATACTTTGTGCTACTCTTTGATCTAAACAGAAGAGAAGGCCTTTATACACATATTTGCTTGTAAATGTCTAGGATAATTCTGTAATAGGGCCAGAGTAGCTCAGGTGTGCTTAGAATGCATGCGGTCTTGAGTTAAATCAAATCCCCAGCACCAAAACCAAACCAAACAAATAAACAAAAAAATAAAAAACAAGCAAAAAGAATATGACAACATTTATTGTTTCTAGGGATAAAAAAATGTATGCCCGGAGGTCAGAGGTAAGAGGAATTCCTTCTGCTTTTTAAGGTTTGTTTTGCTGGGGATCAAACCCAGACTCCTGTAGATGCCAAAGAAGAGCAAGTGCTCTATCACTGGGCTACACCTCCTGCTCCCTCTGATGATCTTTTAGATAACTTTTTGAACTTTCAAGTATGTGACTACATTGCATATTAAAGGAAAAACTTTAAGCTTTAAAAATTTAAGCCCAATATACATATGTAAATATTTTAAAATAAAATTTATAGGAAGTCATGGTTTGGACTCAGCTCCTGCACAGACCAAATCAAAATAGAGTCACGCATGCTAATGTTCCATAAAAGTAAGGTGAAACTAAGTTGCTTATCTGACCTTCCCAAAAATGAGGAGAATGAGAACGGCACAGAAAAAACCCAGTCAAATCCCTGGTGTTAGCCATTATGCTAAAGAAGTCCCCTTTGCTTTAACCTTAATAAGAAAGTAACTTTTTATTCTGTTTCTGCTTTCTTCAGCCCTTTTCTGCCTATAAATCCAACCCTCTTTGCTCAGCTTATTGGAACATTCATTTTATTTTATGGGATGAAGTCATCCCTGATTCTACAATCGCAAATAAAAGCCAACTCATTCTCTAAATTTGTTATAATTTCATCTTTGACGATATAAAACATATAAATGGACAAACCACAGAAACCGTAAACTTATAAATTCAGTCAAAAAGAATGCCTTAAAATGTGGACAATAGGTTATATTGCCATTAAGTATATCGCTGCTTTCCACATCTAATGGCATTGAGCATAGCAGCAATCCTATGGGCTCAATTTTTCCTTTTCCTGCCTGAGATCAAGGGCAAGCCAAGATGTGGCAACCTAGCAGAGATTTTTATTTTCCTGATGTGATTAGAGCTAGCAATGTTCCGCTGAATTTATCTTAAGTTTCACATATAGAGGAATTGTCTTTAACTTAAAATTTTTTTTTATTTTAGTGAGTACCTACTTGTGGTACATAGTTACATTCATCATGGGGAGCTGGCACATGTACATAACGCCCTCTCCCTCTCCCCTCATTCCCTCTCCCTGCATCTCTAGGTTCCCTTCCCATTTGCAAAAGATCTATCTCCCTGTCTACTATTTTTTTTGTCTTTCTTTGTTTTTGTCAGAAAAACATCTATTAAGGATTAATAATAGCATAACCACAACCACATAATTATTGGAAAATAACTCAGTATAATTAAGGAGCTTCCTGTTCATGAAATAGTTATGAAAATTTAACATTTAGATAGTATCCTACTGTCTATCCCAAAAGCTGACTTTTATTTAACTATCTTTACCTCTGCTTGTCCAGGAAAGGGTTTTCATTAGGAAAATCAGATGATACATAGTCTTAAATTAAAGGCATCTTAAAATTATCTAATAAAGTATAAAGCTATAAGATCATCATAGAAGCAAGCAGTATTATCCTCCTGTCTAACACTGCCATACAATCTATCTCTTTTTTTTTTTTTTTTGGTACCGGGGATCGAACTCTGGTCCTTGAGCTTGTGAGGCAGGCGGCGGAACCACTGAGCTAAATCCCCAGCCCCTCACTGCCATACAATCAAGTGCTTTTCTTCCTCTCCACCTGAAATCAAGTTTAGTGCTTTGTCTACTGCACAACAAGCACCCCAGGAACCCAAAGAGTTCTCAGTAAAAGTAAAATCAATTGTTTCCATTAATTAAAATACAACATGAATTTCAGCTGAGTTGCTCCTTCTGCCCCAGGCAGAGACCTCACTGTCTGCCCAGGGGCCTGGGTCTAATGCCCAGGGAAGCCACCCTCTCATGGATCCTATTCTCCCTGACCTGTCCAGGTTTTCACTTCATCACTTCGAGATATAATACGGAAGAGTGGGAAAGCTTTGTTCCTTAAACTGAACCTTGCCTAATTAAGCTCTCACCACTGTGCTCTCAATCTTTCCATCAAAGTAGCCCCGTGGCTCAGGAGGGTAAATTCACGCCACCCTTCCCACCACACCCCCAAACCTACCCACGGAACATTCTGTAGCCAGAACAAGACCTATGATGCAATTGGAGGGCCAATATTTGCAACTAAGAAATTTCTTTGGGTTTCATGTTTTGTAAGGATGTTATGTTCTCTTTGTATGGCCCGTCTTTTTTAAAAAGAAGATAAATACCCCATTCCTCCCCTTGATCTCCCCTCCAAAATTTTTATGGAAAGCTTGCGTGCGTGCGTGCATGCCTGTTTGTTTTGTGGTTCTGGAGATTGATCCCAGAGCCTTGCGCATGCTAGGCAAGCCCTCTCCTACTGAGCAACTCCTCCAGTCCCGATGTGAAGTTGACAGCTGTGTTTATAACGTGGGTCCCAGTACCCATCCTGGCATTGTTGGAGGATCTCTGTGGCCTACTGGAGAAAAAGCCTATTGTTAACAGAGCTATTAATTCCATCCGTTGGCAGTTGTTGCCTTAAAAATGTACTCTTGCTCCTTCAAGATCTTCTGGACTTATTCTTTTTCTACTCCCTACATCTAGTACTGGGGATTGAACCCAGAGCCTTTATATTGAGCTACCTCCCTGACCCCTTTTATTTATTTATTATTTTTATTTTGACACAGGGTTTCGATAAGTCATTAGATGCCCAGGCTGGGCTTGAACTTGTGAGTTTCCTGCCTTAGCCTTCCAGCGTGCTAGAAGTACAGGCAGCCTATGCCTGTTGAAACACTACCAGCTGCCCCTTCCAGTTGAACTGCTGCCATTCCCCCGAAATTCCCAGAAGACTTTAGAATCTGTAGTTATACTGTGAATAGAATTGGAATCTTTGTCATCCCCCTTGACAAACTTCATCTTTACAGAATTCCCCAAAAGGACTTGATTGTTGTTGTGTTCAGGACAAGGGCCATTGGCTCCCTGCCTCTGATGGTCTAAATCACTATCCCACCAAAAAGCAGCGTTTTCTCTGCAGCCACACAACTGCTTCCCCCTCAGAGTGGCTCTGGTTTCTAAAATTCTATAGGGAAGACAACCTCCTTCTCATCCTCTTAAGTTATATTGTGATCTAGATGTTGTCCTACTCGGAGGGATCTCAAAGCACTTTACATCATCATTACATAAAGTACATATTTCCATGTACTTCCACGTACTTCTGGTCCCATTTCTTTATTTCCCTTCACAAAACCAAGTTCACTATCTTCAAACTGTCCCAAAGCTGTCTGAGCTCACGGCCAGCCCCAGCGAGTCCTTGCGTCATGGCAGACAGGCACAGGGCGGGCCCTGGATGAGGGACCACTCCCTTCTTTCACCGTCAGCCCTGCGGCCTAGATTTATCATCTCGCGTTCTCCCTGGAGAGCCCGCAGTGCAGTCCCGGTGCCGCTGTTGGCGTTGTGGGTGGACCCAGGAGCCTGGTGGGCAGGGAGGAAAGGTGTCAGTCAGCCGAACTGGGCGGTGCCTGCACCATTAGGGGCTTTTATTGGCCTTGTTTATCAGGAATTTTTTGCCTTCATTTTGAGTTATTAAACTATTGTATTATATTGTCTATCTCGATCCCTGAGTTGTTCAGCGTCCCTTTCAATTTTGTGCCAGAAACAAGTGACCGACTACCCGGGCTGGGGCTGTGGCTATATAGTTTGAGCCCTTTTGCTGGGTCGGTCTCAGGGCCAACTCTGTGTCAGGACCGTGAGGTCGGTGAGTAAACGCTGAACTTGGTTTACTACTCCACAGTACTGAAATTCTTAATACTGTATTTTTTCCAGTGCTTGAAATTGAACCTAGGGCCTTGACATTACACTACTTCCCAATCCCAGCCATTATTTATTTTTTAGGTTCTTTAAAGTTTTATTTTGCTGTTGTTTCGTTTTGTTTTTTGAGACAGGGTCTTGCTAAATCACTCAGTTGTGCAGAGTGGGCTCAAACTTGGGAGCTTCCTGCCTCAGCCTCCCAGAGAGCTGGAATTATAGGCATGCACCACCAAGGTCAGCTCTGAACAGCTTTGGAACAAAGGCTTCTGCGTTTTTATTTTACACCAAGCTCCATAAAATACACAGCTGGTTCTGTCTGATCAGCAAAGTAAATTTAAAATTGAATGGAAAATAAAATTGCAGTTGCAGTTCTCATTCCGCAGCTTTCCGGGTTTATTTTGTCATTCACTCCATTTAAACTGGCAACAACCGGGCTCTGTCCTCAGGCTCCGCCCCTCATTGCCTCCTGTGAGACAGTGTTTGGCTTTTCAGCTATTTTGTAGGCTGAAAATGGTCGCTGCTTCTTCTCTGGAACTTTGTCTGAGAGACTGGCTTGGTTCTGTGATTCATCAGAAATAAGAAAAACAAACACTGTAAATGGAGAACTTGAAAAACAGGTGGGCACCATCTCCCCACCCAAGAGAATGGATCTAAAAGGAAATTTGTTTATGGAATGAGGTTTTAAAAGGTGACCTGGAGAATTTAGCAAAGATGTAAATAAACAACTCTTTCTTGGATTGCATTAGGCTTCAGAATAAATATATTAACCAGCTTCAGTCAAAGCCTGCCTAGAATCTGACCTTGACAAGACCCAGCTCTGGTTGCTGCTCCCGTCCCTCCCCCAAACAGCAGGCAGTTATCTCTGCAGCGGGGCTACCTCAAAGCAGCAGCTGGACTTCCCGCCCACGACGCAAAGGTAAGCAGAGGCCCTATCTCGTTTCCTCCCCAGCCAGCTGTAGGACCCCCTTCCGTGCAAGCCTGAGGGCCGTCAGGATACACCACCCTGCTTTTCTACGAAATAGTATCCATCCCTAGACACAAACACACGCCCACGACCCCCCAAGGGCACCAAACTGCTGCGCCTGTGCAGAGCCCCCCTCCCCCGGGGTCTGGTCCGCTCCCAGTAGGTGCAGACATCTACTGATGCGTTTAGTCCCGGCCCTGCAGGCGGAAGGAGGGAGAAGCCCGGTGCTCCTGAAACCCCGTGTTGAGTTGCTGACGTCTCGCCTGCAGTTTGAGGGCTTGGATTTTTCCCTGCCTTTACATCTTTTCCTTCCTTGGTCCCCATCTGAAACCCAGCGTCCTTTATGAGAACGTATGAGGCATTTCTACGTATGATTCAAATTGTTATTTCACATTCATAAATACCTTACCACACAGAGAACACACAGCCCAAAGCAAAATGCTTAAACTATGACTAAGATGAGCTTGAGTAGAGCCTTTCATAGTTCTTGGAAGGGATTTTAGTAACACTTTATAATTATTATTAATTACTCTCACCTTATTCATCTTTGGCAGACTAACTCAATCACATTCAAAAATCATTTTTTCCTGATAATAGCTACTAAGTCACATACAAGCAACTGTGTAGTGGGCCAGGCAGGGATTAGTCATTGTGTCATAAAAGCAGTACAATATTCTTTTGATGGGATTTGAAGGGAAGAAGTAAAATAAATGATTTTCTTCCTAGTGGGAAGGAAAGATGACGTTCTCTGCTTTGTAAGGGTCACATTATTTAATCCTATAAGTGAGCATTGTTTTATCTATTTTATAGATAGGAAACCAATCTCAGAATGGGCAAGCTCACAGGTGGCAAGTGAGGGACAGGATTCACACATAGCTCAGCTGATTTTGAAATATGTGTTTTCTTTTGTGCCATTTGCCTCCCTCGAAATACATAGAACAATGATGCTTAGCCTCTGTGGGGCATTTATCATATGGCAGGCACTGGTGAGGCCCACGATGGCAAACCTTTTAGAGCTTTCAATGATACAAGCAGCCTATGCGTGCCATAGGTTTGCCACCACTGGCCCAGGCTCTTCTCATAGTGCCCCATGAATTCTCACCCTGGCACCAGGAAGTACTGATTTACATACAAACAAGGAAGCAGATTCAGAGGTCAGGAACAGAGGCTAAAACCAGCCAGTCCACTCCAGAGCCTGGGCCAGAACCACTGAGCTACACATGGCCTTATCCACTCCAGAGACTGGGGCCTAGGGATCAGGACACTTTGTGAGCCAAGACAGCCTGTATCAGAGGTCTGTGAGTTCATCTCCACCTACTGAGAAAATTAGATGATCTAGATGTAGATCAAGATACAAAATGGAGAAAGCATTTTGCTTCAATCATATGGAGAAGGAATAAAGAAAAATACCAGTTTTTGAAAAATGAGCAGAAAGGACACATGTATATGAGAAATGGCTATGCCATTGGTCAGGAAAAGGTCTGAATGCATGAAGGCATTTGAAAGCTGGTGGCTTCAGACCTCAACTGCAGCACCATGGTAAATTATACCATGACAGTATATTCATGGGGATTTAGCTCAGTGATGCTGCTGCCTGCCTCACAAGCACAAGGTCCTGAGTTCAATCCCCGGTTGAAAAAAAAAAAAAGAAACGCTATTAAATATATTCATGTTCATGAGACTTTATATCTCTAGTTTTTTTCTTGGATTTAACTATAATCTCTGGTTACTTCTTGGAATCTAACTAAGAAAATACAATCACTGGGCTAAAGACTTTTGTTTATAATATTACACATTGATTTCTACCAATATAGCATGTTTTTGGATGTTCATCTGCATTCAAATTTAGTTAGAGGGACACACATTTCCTACCCAGTGACTTCTACATTTTCCTCTACTCAACCTAATGGAGGATAAGAGTGAGATGGCAATGCCCAGGACTGAACACTGGCTCTGCCATTTGCTAAGCTATGACAAACTTCTTTCAGTAATAACATGCAATGTATCTAAAAGTGTACCTTGAGATAATATACTTGTCTTATGTGTTATATGTGACTTTTGCCTATTCGAGTGATTGTTAATCAGTATAAATGGTAATTAACTTTATAAGAACTTATAAGATAAATAAATGAATCTGATGCTGGAAAGCAAAACCACTAACATGGGAATTTCATAAAATCTAACTCACATGGTTGTTGTGTTAAATTATGATAAAACATGTTAAATGCTAAGCATCATGCCAAAGGAGCCATCTAATAAGCACTAGCTATTAATATTACTGTTATTCATGTAATTAGTGACTTTGCAAATACAGTTGAACCTCCGCTTGCCCATGGGGATATTCTCTGATAAATCCATTATAAGTTAGAAGTATCATTAAGTCAGAAATGGACTAAAGGAAAGAAGGGAAAGGAAAAATTATGAGAAAAGAAAAAAAATGGAAATGAAATCTATGTAAACAGGGAAGGGTGGAGGGGCGTGAAGGGCGCACAGGTACTGGGGGAAAATATAAGAACTAAGATACATCATGTACGGGTACAAGCACCCAGTGATAAATGTAAACTGTTTTGTTTTGGGGTTTTCTTTGGTACCGAGGATCGAACTCGGGTCCTTGCGCTTGCGCAGCAGACAGCGAAACCACTGAGCTAAATCCCCGGCCTGGGTTTTTTTTTGTTTTTATAAATGTAAACTATTGTATACCTAAAATGTACCAATAAAAGAATTTAAAAAAAAAAGAAATGGGCTCAATACATCTAACTACCTGAACATCACAGTTCAGTCTAGTCTACCTTAAACATATTCAAACACTTACATTTCCCTGAAGTTGGACAAAATCACCTAACACAAAGCCTATTTTATAATAAAGTGTTGTATACCTCATACAAGAGTACTGAAATAGAAAAACAGAATGGTTCTATAAGTGTGCTTTCTCACCATCATAAATCTGGGGTCAACTGTGATAGGTAATGTAGCTTCTCAGCTGTTATCATTCATCAGCAGAGCATGGGAAAGGATTACAGTTGCTATTTTTATTTTTTTGGTTGATGATAAGCGGAAGCAGATCTTGTTTAATAGAAGCATCAGAACTGAAAGAGTATTGTTCAATGAATACTGTGGAAACCTTCACTATGACTTCTAAAAATTAAGAACCAGGTGGTCACGACTGTTTGATTTGGTTGTACTGAAAAATTAAAGTGTTATGGTGTCATAAGACTGGAGTTTCTCCTCACTTGTTTCTTAGACTTAAGTACTGTACTTCCATTCATAATAGCAAAGATTGTGTCCTGTCCCATCTGCTGCTTTTATTTTATTGTATTATATTTTATTTTAGGTGCTAGGGATTGAACCCAGGGCTTTTATTTTTTAAAATTTTGAGACAAGACCTCACTAAATTTCTAAATTTCCCAGGCTGGGCTGGAACCTGCAATCCTTCTGCCTCAGCTTCCCAGAATGCTGAGATGACGAGCTTGTGCCAGCAGCACACCCAGCTTTGTTTTATTTTTCTGAAAGGTGGCAAAAATGGGGTTGCTGTGCTGGATTCTAGGAGGGTTGAATTAAAAAGTATATTGTTGGAATAGAAGTCAGTTTCTAAATTAGGTAACCAGATAAACATATAGCCGGAAGCCAGGTACCTGAAACTCCAGCATGGTCTTCCCCATATTTGACTCCAGCATGTAGTGATAGGCGCCGATGCTCGTGCTGGGATCATCCGCATCATCTAAAGTGCCCTTGAGAAGGACAGCAGAAGAAAGTGTTACTAATATTTTCTGTGAGTGGTCAAGGATTAATCCTGTGGCCATAGCATGTCTTCCACTGCTGGCCTAACCTTAATGGTGTTCACGCTACAATTAAGTCTCCGGTTGATTTGGGGTAAAATTCTTAATCTCACCATGACTCAGAGTAAAGAGGATCTCATAATCAATTTGAATCTAGCTTTTGACTGGAATGTTCATTGAGCATATACTTGCTGATAGAATTACTATTCCCGATCAGAAATTCCTGTTTTCACTGCACAGGGTTTTTGGTGATGATGGTCTTAGGGCTAACTGAAATCTTAAACACTGATTGTGCTCTAATTTCAATGATACACAGGCAAAATTATGGACATGGAAAAAAGACTCCAGTTGTACTGGCCACTTATATTTTATCTTTTCATAATATGGGTGATGTTTGGACTGGAGACATAGATTTTGGTTATATATTTTTTCCACTCTTGGACCACCATGCTGGATTAACTAATGGTTAACTTGGAACGCCCAGCTGAACTGAGTCAGTGTGGCTCTGGGCGTGGAAGACCCACCTGAAGATTGTTGCCAAAATGACAAAAAAGGACAACGGGAGGGGAAGATTGGATGCTATTGATTTTCCCAGAGAAGCTTGTTTCAGCTGGTTTTTCTGATATGAATTCCCCTGTTCTCATGGTCAGAGGAGCTCAGGTCCTCACTGTCACCCGGGATGGCTGATGTTCTCGTCAGGGGAGCTCTGGTCTTCGCCTTGAGCGTCACTGCCTGGCTCCAGTGCAGATCCCTCAGCCTGGTGGCACAGATCCTGCACCCCGCTGGCACAGGCTTTCTAGTTTCCACCACTGGCCTTTGGGCCTTCCCAGTACAGATCCTGCATATGGACTTGCATGAGACATTTCTAGGGGCTGTAGGTCTCCAGCTGGATTAACAGAGGATCCAGGCCCTCAGCTGGATTCTTTGGGTCTCCAGCGTGTGGATAGATATCTTGCACTCCTCTGCATTTGACTTTTTGGATGAATATTATAAAATAATCCTATAAATTATGTGGCCTGTATTAAACCCTGACTACAACAACCACTTCATCTTTAGAAAGCAAGGTGGGTGTGTGTGTGTGTGTGTGTGTGTGATGGGTAGATGTGAATTCCCTTTCAGTTTGGTTGTGGGGAGCAATGCAAGAAGCTACCATAAGCTCTGGAATGGCATCTGGGT